GAGCTGCTCGAGGCCCTGGCGCAGCTGGGAGGCCAGCAGCTCGTACTCGTGCGAGTTGCGCGACCTCAGCGCCTCCGTGAAGGGCTCGTGCAGATGCAGCGTCATGCGGAAGTACCCTGCGCACGCACCACACATACACATACAAAAGTCGGCGGTCCACCTCCCACGCTCGCACTGTGCAGAAAGCTTGTGTCAAAGGAGCGCAAGATAACTAATTGATTTCGCGAGTGCGTCTATTGTTATGGTCATTAGTCCCCCGTAAGCTAGTATTTTTTTTATAAACAGCTAAAGCATTGTTAAGTTTCATCCAATGATAAGTCCTTTTATAAGATATTTATCCCACTTAAGATCTGACGTTGTTTAATACTCATTGAGATCTCCAAGGATTTCAAGGATCATCCCATTCAGGGTTATTGAATATTCCGACACATGAATAACTACAATATTTACGTAGGATATACCTGAATAACACAAAATTTACGAAGGGCAACGATGTAGGAATCGGATCTGAAGTGGGATAAAAATTTCTTATATTTCAACCAGATCTTAAGTGGGATAAAAATCTTATAAAAGGATTTATCATTGGATGAAACGTAACAATGCTTTAGCTGTTTGTCAAAAAAAAAAATACTCGCGTCCCGTAACTGTTGGACATGTTATATTCCACGAGGTGGCACCGTCCCTCGCACGCTACATCGAGAGATCTGGATCGATCTCCGCCTAGCCTTTTGGGGAATGTCCCCTATCTAGGTATCTCCGTCTGTGACGCACCCCCGCACCGGTCCAAGCTCCTGACTGGTCTTCCGACACTTTTTCGTAGTGTACTGCATGTTAATGTGGGCAAAGGGAGACGAGGGAATAAGGAAGTGGAAGGAAAGATCGTGGTCGGTCGATGACCCGTTCGTTCGTCAGCATTGAGAGGAGAAATTACGGAAAACTACCGATCGGTGGAACCGGTAGGTAGGATTCCTCTCCCGGCAGGTGCTGGTGAATTCGACCTAACACTCAAGCTTGCGTCCAATTTTCGCCACCGTTAGAAGTTAAACCCCAGGACCTCCCAGTTAAATGCGCTGCATTGACAACAGTTGAAACCCTCCGCCATCCAAGACGTGATTTAAAGGATGGGGTTGTTTATATCTACCAATACAATACACGTATAAAATGATGTTATTACTACTTTTCAAATATTGTAGTGTAGTGTTTGTTTTTGGCATCTGAGCGGTACAAGTGAACGCGCGCGCGCGTGTATGTATGTGTGTGTATGTGTGAATGTGTGTGTATGTGTGTGTTTGTGTGTGTGTGGGTGTGTATGTATGTGTGCGTGTGTGCAGTGACCGATGCAGGGGAAGGGGCATGGGGACATGCCTTGGCCTATCGTTTTCGTTAGTTACCTTCTTCTATTGAGCCAAATTGATTTAAATATTTATTTATGTTCAAATTATGTAATTATTTAAACAATAATATTGTGTAGCATCATATCTACAGTAAATACATAATATACAATATAATAACAAATATTATTAAACAAAAATCAATGGTGGTCCCCTGCAATATCCTCGGCTGGATCCGCCCCTGTGTGTTGTGTGTGTGAGTGTATGTGAGAGTGTGAGTGTGTGTGAGAGTGAGAGTGTGTGTGAGA